CGTAGAGAATGTGCAAGAATAGGAAACCCTCTGCTTGCCTCCTCCCCGCTTCTTTGCGGCGCAAGTCATATAGTGGCAAGCGAGATAGTGTCGACGACCGCGCTGCCATCGACAGAAGCCTGAGCGATTCTCCGCCGGCCCTGTCTGGAGGCGTGCAAGTGGAAGTGCAGCCTGTCCCCGAAACAGGGCCGGGCAAGCGGGAAAGCGTGAAGATGGCGAATAAATGGGAAAGTATGGGGCTGGGCACGTGGGAGCGTTGGGCTGGGGAACCGTGGGGCCGGGCAAGCGTGGAGGTGGGAAAGCGGGAAGAGCGTGGAGATGGGAAAGCGTGTGTAGGCAAGGAGTGGGCTCGGTATCTGCCTCAGGAAGCTCTGTCTTCTTGAGGCCCCGAACCAGGGCCGGGCAAGCGTGGAGCTGGCGAAGCGTGATGTGGAAAGCGCAAATGGGGTGTGGAGCTGAAAAAGCGGAACGTAAAAGCGTGTGGAGGCAGGGAAGTGTGGAGCTGGGCGTGGAGACAGGGAAGAGGGGTGAACAGAACGGCGAGACTCACCACCAACACAGTGGGACAACATTGAGCCCACCACGTTTTTTAGCCTCGTGAGCGTGACCCGGCAGAGGATGCGGACCTGTCATGGAAAGCTCCGCCATCCGCTCTGTCCCAGGTGGCGCGATCAGACCTCGCTCCTCCTGCTGCAGGGCGTACCGGCGCCTAGCCACTGCGTGGAAAGAGACCGCCAGGGTGTCCAGCAGGTCCCCGTCAAGTCCAGACCATCGGACCCCGCCGGCTCGAACACGTCCAAAATGCTCATTTCAGCATCTCCACCCAAGTCCAGCTTGTTGTTCAGTTTTTTGAAGACCACTCGGCGCTGCCTTGTCCTTGACCTTCTGTTGGATCCAGGACCGTACCACAGAACTCGTCCGTGCCGATGAGTTGCCAGGAAGGAAAGGGGTATATACCCCGAGATCCGCGAAAGCCACTTGAGCCAAAATGCCCCCCCCCCCGAAAATTACCGCGAAAGCCACTTGAGCCAAAATGCCCCCCCCCCCGAAAATTACGTGGACCACCCGACATGCCAAGGAACGCAAAGAGTGAGTACTTAGGCCTTTGATATCAAAGTGTAACAATGCAAGCAATTGCACGTTGTTGCCACGTGCATAAGTCAATGACCCCTATGGTCATAAGCTACTCACCCAACATATCCCAAGAAGCCCCTGCATATTCATTAACATGGACTCCAAAAGCGAAAAGAAGCTCCTTTTTGGTGGACCTCTTTCTCGGGTTCTACTTGGCCTCCTCGGCGTGGAAGGCGGCGCCCTCTTCCGCCGACCGCCCGCAGAGCGCCTCCGCGCGCTCCGCGCGCTGCAGTTCTTCCGCCTGCGAGTGGAGGCGCTCGTGATTTCAGCTCGTGGTGCCCGCTGGTTTGGAGCCGAATCGGTGGTTTGGTGGTGAAATGGAAGGCCGAAGCCCCCCCTTCACCCCTCTAAGCCAGGGCTTCCTTTTGGCATTTCTTGAGCTTCCCTTTGTTGGAAACCTTCCGTCTTCCGATTGCTCGTTGATTTGTGGCCATCCGACTGCTCGTTTGCACGTTAGCTCGAGCAGCGGGGTGCAGCAACATCCTGCAAGCATCATTTGCAAACGGCGGCAATAGCCCACTGAAGGGGCATTAATGCAAAGTCTGTCGTGGGAATCCAAACGGGTATGTGTCAAAATGGGAGAACCAAAAAAATGCGAGAGTTCTTGTTGGCTTCCATTTAAACCAACCCCAAAAAGGGTGCCCTCAAAAAGACACATGCCCAAATAGGTTCGCCTGTGTTGCCACAACTCAGAAGAATTTGAGCTAGCGGAACAGAACGGAAAAACAGGCCATGGTCCTTGGAGCGCAGCTGCAGAATGCTTGAGGGGCGTAAAAGCCCGAACGTATTGTCCCAGTCTAGCAGCACTGTGGACCAAATGTTCATTTCGCGCCACTTTGCTTGTTGGTATTTACAGGACAATCATCAGAAACCAGGGTTTCTACAGTAAGTGGCGACATGGATTTGGTCCACCCACAGGAATTATGGGTATAAGTCTTACAGCTCGAAATGGGATTTCGCCACGGGATAGCCGCCTTCTCCCATCTCTCTCTCCACCCCAACTCCGTGGGGCCTCCGCAAGGCACTGCTCCAGCTGCCTTCTGAGCAGCTCTTCGGACTCGGCACGGAAGTCCCCCATCTGCTGGTGAAGGTGCACCTCAGGAAAAGATACCTATATATGCACCTCGGGGTCTCGGGCCGGGGGGGGGGGGGTCCTGGGGGACCCATACCATATGGGGGGGGGGGGTAGCAACACGGAACACGGGACACCAAGCATGTGGTCAGGAAAATATGCCTTTCCCCTCACCAAACGAACATGTGGCCGTGTCCTGATTTGCTTTTCCGAGGGCGTCAGATTTCTTGGTGGTTTTGAAAGGAAATGCAAAAGCAAAACCGCCTATTTGTTTCATCTTTATCTATTTTATTTGAAACAAAAATGGGGGGGGGTAATCGTTTAAACTACACACCCCATGTGTCGGAGGGCACCTGGCAGATAAATCCTGCCAGCGAGAGGGAGGATACCCGAAAGCCCAGAATGCCGTGGCTGTGATGTTCATTCGGTATGTCATTCTGTGATTTACCGACAATGAACAACATCAAGCGAAACGAGTACACTAAGAAACACCAACAACTCCTTTTCACTAACGCAGTTCATATCGAGAATTATAAGTCGGATAGCTGGGCTAGGTTGACTTATAACCATGGGTATGGTCTACTGCTAGGTTGAACATCCCCGCGTGTCAAGTTGACGTGTCAAGTCAACAAAAGAACACATCGAAAGGAAAGCGAGCGATCGGATAAAGTTTCAATAAGCAAAAACAATCAACTCGGGAAGGGCTCTGCCTCTGGTGCCGAAGATCTGGCATCTGGCCACTCAAAGGAGTCATGCACTGAGCTTTGTCTGAAACGGGGCGGGGGTTCATTTGCCTTTAAAAGCAAACAGGGGGCCCAACAAAAAGAACACATCAAACGCAAGAAGTTGACTTGCCTTGACATTCGGACGGCTGGGTGAGGCACAGGGCGCCTAGGCCAGAAGCTGTTGCTTAGCCCATTCTCAGCAGGGCTTGGGGAAGGGTGATCACAGTGTCAAATTTGCAGTTTTTGGCACCGCCGATGAAGCCCTGGCCAGTTTGAAAAACACCTCCTGACGCCCATAGGCCATCTGGGCTGCTTCTATGTTAGTTCACCTGCTTGAAAAAGGATAAGGAAAATGGACCTTTCGTGGGTGTCGTCAAGGATCTAAAAAGAATACTAGGTTGGACATATGTATGTTTTGCTCAGCTTTCCAAGGGACACATAGGCCCCTTTGTCGATACCTCCATGGTTGAAGTCGCGGAGGCAAATCAAATGGAACCTCGTGATTTCATAGTTCTATGAGTTCTATGGTTCTTTGCTGGACATCTGGGTTGCTTGGGAACCCACCTGCTGGTCCTCGGAGGCTCGAAGCTCCGCCTGCCAGCTGGGGTAAGTTCGGGCTTGGGATCTCCAACTGCCACCTCAGATGGATCGGCTTCCCCCTTGGCGTTTTGGATTGGTGGTTTGGTGGTTTGGTGGTTTGGTGGTTTGGTGGTTTGGTGGTTTGGTGGTTTGGTGGTTTGGTGGTTTGGTGGTTTGGTGGTTTGGTGGTTTGGTGGTTTGGTGGTTTGGTGGTTTGGGATGGCTTCTCATTTCCTACCAAAAACTAGGAGTTCAAATCCCGAAACCACCAATCCGAACCATCAGCTAGGGGTGACCTGAACGGAAGTGCACAGACTCCCTTTCCAAAAGGAGAATGGACTTCCGAAAAATAAATCCGTGCACCTCCATGTTGGGAGGGGAAGAAGGTTTTGCAGAAAGGAATGGCTTCCCTTTCAGCAGACCTTCACCAGGATAACCCACCAAAATGAGCGTCGTGTTTTTCTCTTGGCTTCTCTTTAAAACAACCTCAAGAAGAAAAGCATGCAATAATGACAGCGGATGGTAAGCTCTGGTTTCCCATTCGACCAATCCAAAATGGTACCCAGCTAGACACACCCTTGTAGGAGTGAACTTGTGTTTGGAGACATCAGAAAAGTGCTCAAACCATTCAAACTCACCGCAATAGAAATGTGTCTAGTGAGTCCAGGCTTCCATAACATGGCCACAAGTGTGCTGGTGTACTGAGACACCCAAAAATTCCAAACAGCGCACCCCAAGGTTTGGCACAAATGCTCGGAGCAGCATGTGGCCGGTGAATCCCACTCTTTTTCAAGCGGAGGTTCAAAGGCCTTGCGAGACCAGAACTCCGCAACGGACCAGCCGGGCCTTCATGGTCTACCTATCCTGAACTTGGGGGACATCACTTGCACGGGCGTCGCCGATTCAAACGTTGGCTTAGCATTCCAAAATGTCGTTGGCCCTCCCAGGTGCTGCAAAGACAGCATGGCAGAAATTGGGTCGCCAAAACAAACATGGGAAACCCTTCGCCAATTGTTTATCCAGTCTAGATCCATCTGTCGAATCGGATTTCATCCTGGCCGCTATTCCACCCTTGGGTTAAATTTCTTGTTGACCACGTCCAAGACCCTGGCAAAAAAACACCGAACCGTATGCGGCGTTGACCAGCTTCAGTGTGGATGCTTTCGTAGATGCCTACCGTGTCTTGAGCCATATAGCCAACTGGGAAATTTGCGCTCAACTGGCAATGTTGGGCCAACCCCTTGTTTAAGCCACTGCATTATTATTATTTATTTACTATTTTAAAAAAAAAAAAAAAAAAAAAAAAAAAAAAAAAAAAAACTCAGCTGTGTTGTTGGCTCTGGGGCTTCTTTGACCTCATTTCGACCGATGACTTACTCCCATCGCGCCTGCAGCCGCAGGTTCTGCGCCTCCTGCGCTGCGAACTCCGCCTCGGACCTGGCGATGCTGGCGACGTGAAAGACATGTTCGAGCTGGCGCAAAAGCGGAATACAGAGCCCTGAGGGTCACACAAAAACACTTGGCAAGCAAACGTGATTTTGAAACTGGCTACAAAAGGACAGCTGCATGGGACCCGGAAGAGATGCAGGAGAAATCATGTCCCCTTCAACATCGCTGCAACAAAAGGAAACTCAGTGCAGGCTGGCTCAAAAGGCAATGTTTAAACCATCCAAACAACAAATTATAGTATAAAGGACTGGGAAAGACTAATGCGTGTCGGAGGTCACAATCAATAATTGCCTGTTCGAGGTAGGCTCGACACATCACCCTATCAAAAGATAGCTCATTTGAGACTACAACGAAAGGTGATGTTTTCGCCGAACAAAACATGAAAATACGAACCCTGGAGAAGCAAAACGGCCAAAACGGATTGAGACGGGGTCAGACTGATGAAATGATCTGCTACGCGGCTCTTACAGGCGTAAATGATCCAGGCCGTCTTTCTGGAAGCCTAGTGGGGCTTCCAAAACGAGTTCGGGCCTAGTTGCGGCTGGCACGGGATCTGGGGCCCTAAAAACAACTGAGCGCCATGCAATCCCTCGCTTCCAATACAAGCGAGAAATCATCTAGAAATTCAAAGCCCAATGCCATTGACCCAATACATCTGGGCGTTTCCAAACCTTTGGAGACCCCTGTTCCTTTCCGTTTAGAAACCCCTCAACCACCACATCCAAAAGGGCCCCAGCCGTCCATGCATAACTTGTTTCGACTCAGCGCCTGCGGTTCATCTGAAATTCATACCTCGGCAAGGCACTGCTTGCAACAGCGAGCAGTCGAGTCATGAATCACGAATTGTTGTGCCGCCCCCAGTGATGCCATCCGGGACAAAAAGAAAGATTGCGCACCCAGGGACTGATGGGGATGCGGAAACTGAAAACTGGCGTTCTCCTGGAAGGGGTCCTGTATCCGGAATCTTCCCCCGAGCGATCGCGTCCTTTTCTCAGATCATTGCGGCCCGTCATCACGATTCGGTGCAAACAAAAAGCCTTGTTGACTTCACTTCTCCTCCGCTTCAAATTCCAACAAACAAACAAAAGGGAGATAGATACAAGGAAGGAAGGAAGGAAGAAACAAAGAAAGAAAGAAAGAAAGAAAGAAAGAAGGAAGGAAGGGAGGAAGCAAGGAAAGAAAGAAAGAAAGAAAGAAAGAAAGGAAGAAAGAAAGAAAGGAAGTAAGAACGGAAGTAAGAACGGAAGCAAGAAAGAAAAAGAGAAAGGAAGAAATAAAGAACGAGAGAGAGAGGGGGACCCCACCCAAAGGCCGTGTAAGTCCAACAAATAAATCTACCAGAAACAATAGTCGAACACGCAAGACTGGACAGATGCATCGGCAATCCCAAGGGAACCACCCTGAATTACCCCAAAATTCCAAGGCTGGGCTTCTTGTTACATGGACAAAGACAGTTCCTTCGGTTTCCCCTGTATGATAAACCTCGAAAAAGGTACCAATCCAAAAATTGTTGCTCTTTACCTGTGCTTGTTTCTCAAACCAACAATCCAAAGTGCAACCAAAACACAAAACACATTCATCCGGCTCTCAATCTTGAGCGGTTGGAGTGTGGGGTTCCATTTTGCGGGGACCTGCAAAATCGGCTCTGTCGTCACCTCAGTTTTCCCTTCGGAACCCCCAAAAGGGAACCAACCCAAAAAACACATGCCGCTCACACCCATGTTGGTTCGAATCTCAAGTGGATGGACCCCCGAAACTTGCTGGTGCTCAGCAGGGAATGAGGGAATGAACCTGGGGATTCCCAGGAAACCACCAGTTGGATGGTTCTTGGGGTCTTTCCATTTCTCATTCTCTGCATCTCTCGCACTCGCAAGTCCCTCGGCTCGCTCCGAAAGCTCCGAAAGCTCCGAAGGCCGCGGCGCTGCTGGCGCTGAAGCGCGGAGCTCTGCTGCTGCTGCAGCAGCCGCTGCTGGAGCTCCAGCGCCTCAGGGAAGGCTGCGGGAGGGTTTCAGGGAGTTGGGGGAGGGTTCAAAGGGAGGGAGGCCAGCTCGAGATGAATCTTTCAACCGAGAACCCCGAAAAAAAAACATCCGACTTGAGAAAGAACGAGGCAATGGAACCGCCCCCCAGAACAACCTTGGCTTTTGTTGGTTTCTGGGCTAACAAGCATTGAAGGAGTCAAAATGACTGCTGGGCTAACATCCCTATTTGGGGTATGGAAACAACAATGGGCCCGGTGTCGTTTTGACTCCTTCATTTTGCCGTTTCCGCCACAAACTGGTGCAAATATACATAGATAGAGAGAAAGAGAGAGAGAGAGAGAGAGAGGGAGAGAGAGAGAGAGAGAAAGAGAGAGAATTTAGATTCATCTACCCTCCATGGCTATTCCCCCTAACCCTGACAGATCGATTCCACGCCCGCGTCACGCCGACGGCTTCCCCCGGCCTCGCGCTGGAGCTCCTCCCCGCGCTGGGCGCTGGTGGCGAGGGCCCTGTCCGCCGCGCCCAGGGCCGACTCCATGCGCTGGACGCGGCCGGTGGCCTCGGGGGAACGGGGGGGGGAGGTGGCATGGTGGGCTATTCGCTTCTTCGCCCTGGAAGAAAAAAATAAAAAGGGAGAAAAAAAACAAAACAAAAAACTGTCCAGTGGTGAGAGATTCCCTTTTTAAGAAAAAACACACGGGAGATTCATGTAAACAAGTCTTACGCAAATTGAAGTTGGGGAGATGCTTCAGCCGTGTCTCAAGAATCCTCTCTCGTTTCCTTTTGAAAGGGAGCGCCTGTTTCTTCAAACAGATCTGGCCCAACTTTGAAGGGCAGTTCTTGACCTCGTTTGCTCGTTTGCCACTCGGGGTAAGGATATGTAGCGAGGTCGGGGCAGCGTGACCTGCCATTCAAAGCATCCCAACTCGGCAGGTCGGCAGGTCTGCGCGTGCGCTGTGCTGTGCAGAAAAGAGTTGCCCGTAGCGAGCATTCACTCTAGATCCAAAAGAACAGCTGAATCGCCCCAGCCATACTTCTTGCTAAAGATGAGGTGGGCGTGGGCCTTGCTTCGCGCTGCTCAGCTCAGCGAACCAACATGGTTGCGTGCCTTCGGAGATCTAAACTTGCGATTGAGATTTGTTGGGTACACAGGGAGGCGGAATACCGGAGTACAGTAAGCTGGTTGCACAGCCTAGGCTCGAAACAAACCAAATTGCCTGCAAAGGGACCTTGACTCCTTTCTAGAGCAAACAGTTCATATGGAGCACATTCAAAATGGAGATAGACCCTGGACTCTGGTTGTGTACTGCTTAAGAGGTGCACTGAGAGAGAATCTGGTTCAGTCGCGCCCTAGAACCAACACAAAGAAGGATTTTGCTCATCGGTGCTCAAGTGCTTCGTTCTCAGACAAGGTCCATGGTTTGAACAACGCATTTGATCTCGTGATGCCAACAAAACCTTTCCAAGACAAGCATGCTCAACTTGACCAGGTTGGTGCCCGAGCATCCCATACCAAAAACCATCGTCAAGCGTCATGCCGTCGCCTGTTCAAGTGTGTGCTCGGCTGTCAAGGCAATGAGGGTGTTGCCTAAACTCGGGGACCCCTTTTGGTGTGAAACCATTTGTAGGGATCAAAATATGTTGGACACGCCCATATCTGCTTTGCTCCTGAGACCCCCACCTGCTGCGAGAAGAGGTAGAGCTGAGAGGACAGCGCATGCAGCTCCCGGAATTCCTGTCGCCGTGCTGAGACTCGGACAGATCGCGTGTCAGCCATGGCCATCCTTTCGGGTGCGCTGGTTTAAAGAGGAACAAAGGAAATTCTGAAAATTCAAAAACATCTCGAGTTGTTTTGATTTTTGTGAGGGATACGGTCAAAAACACTGAGGGAAGACCAAACAACCAATCTCTGGGGAATTATTGGTTTGGTTTTCTCAAGGTGTTTTTTGTAGTTTGTTGCTTTTGGACATTATCCCTCACAAAAACCAAACAAACTCGAGGTGCTTTTGCTGTGTGGAAATCTGGTGTTCTCAAAAAAAAAAAACTCGAGTTGTTTGGCTTTTGTGAAGGATTGAAAAAAGAACTGAGAAGAAAAAAGTTGACAAAACCAAAACAAATGGGGTTAAAGCCAACGATTCTCCCCCAGAGATTGGAGTTCTGTCTTTTGGGTTTTCTCGAGCTTTTGTTTGTTGGTCTTCCCTCAGTTTTTGTTGACAGTATCCTTCACAAAATCATATAATCCTTCTGAAACTTTCAGAAAACCAACCAACCACTGAGTTGTTTTTGTGGGCATTGCTCATCAAGTTTGGCTGTTCTGTTGTGATTTGCTCCCTTATGTGATTTTCGAAGGTGTGACCATATATGCACACGCCTTGCCGCATTTGGCATCTTTGGCTACGCTTTTATCAGACCTCAGTCTAGATCAGACTCAAAAGGCTAGTCTGTTACAGAATAAGACTTTGATTAAGCAAACAGTAGAATTGAATGAAATTCAATAAGAGCAGAGTTGAAATAGAAAAGCTCCTGACAAGGCTCCTTAAAAGAACTCCCTACGATGCTCATTGTAAAGCTCGGCTTTAAAGCTTCCAATAAGGCTCTGTACAAAGCTCCTTGTAGGGCTAGCTAAAAAGAGCCTTATTAAGCTCCTTTTGGAAGCTCATTGTCCTTGCGCAAATCCGTTTGAAACTGCTTGTGAGTTCCTTATAAGGCCTTTTACGCTCCTTATACCAAATAAGATGTTGATTACAAAAGCAGGTGGAACAGAAGTTGATGAAGCAAACAATTCAGAATGAGAATTTAAAGAAGGACTTTCCAACCATGAATTCCATGTCAATTCTTTGATATAGAAGAATTCAAAAAGGACATACTTTGATCAAGTTAAATAGAATTTGAGTAGAACTTAATAACGATGAAATGTTCTTTGAAGTTCTAGTTCAAAGTAGAATGGAGTGAATTTAAATTTGCAGATGCAACAGAACACACACAGGAATTATACGCAAAGACTTGCAAGTAAATAAAGCTCCTTATAAGGCTCTTCGCAAGGCTCCTTATAAGGCTCCTTGTGCCAACCAGGACTTTATAATTCAGATTTAATTAGAGTATAACAACAAATAATGAGGAAACTTGTCTGGTTTGAATGAGGGGTTAAACAGGCATTCCTATCCAAATATGACATTAAGTGTAAAGTAATTCAAGCAGGATTTAATAGGGGAAGGAGTTTAATCAGAATTGCTATTTGCAATTTGGATTTGAATATGAATTCCTTTCCACATTGTCTTTTCCATAAATTTGAATTGGACACTGAGTCGAATTGATGATGCATTTATGTTGGGCTTGCAGAACACGGACAGAGCTGATTTGTTATACATACATATATATATATATATGCATATGCTTACACGTAGGTACATGTACATTTGCGCAAAACGAACTGTGTGCGCATATCAAGTGCAAAAGCATATACATGTTTAAGGCATTTGCGACTTGCCTTTCAATCACAAGAAGGCCTGCAAAAACCGCCTACACCTCTTGTATGAGGGTGGCCACGTCTTTGTTGACACCTCTCGCTTTCACAGCTGGACATTCCAATGTCCTCGGATCATGTAATCCTCTGGAGAATGTCATTCCCTGCAATTTAGAGAACGCGCCGTCCAAAAGAAAAACATGTACATGACTGCCTGCCTCTAGCGGTGATGCTTGTCATAGACAAACAACTCTTTACCCACACGAGCTTTCGATCGATGCTTCATCAAACATGTCCTGAGTAAATCGTTTTGGACAACCACGTGGCCCAGGAAACACATAGGCTTGTAGATATCAAGCTCCGGCAGGCGCTTCGCCTGTATTGCTTGTCAGCTTGTCTCAACAGTGTGCTCAAGCCATCCAGCTGAATCCAAAGCGAATGCTTTCAAACGCTACAATATGAAGCAAACACAACCTGATAAATGCCCTTGGAACACATCCCACGAGTATCCAAGAGGGTACACCGTCCACCGAAATCATATGCAAGGCTTGATATGCCTTGGGATTTCGTAAGAAGCACACGCCCATGTGCCCAACGGCTGTCTTGGGTGATGCTGAACCCCCCCTTAACAGCCCGAGCAGCTGGGGCCAACTCAGACACGCCTTAAGGACCCGGCGAAGAGTGAAGACTTCAGCCCGCCCCCCTCCCGACCGCCGGATCGATCCTGTTCTTTGCGCTGCAGCTGCCGCGACACCGCCTCGAACTCCGAATACTTCAGATCCCGCCAGGCATTGAAGACCTGGCGAAGGGGAGAAGCACCTCGTTGAGGCCCAAGAGTCGTCAAGGAAAAACCTCCCCAGTCGGTGGCTCCAGGAACCTCAGGGGGATCTTTTCACACGAGAATGTGCGATTGGGGCTGGCAGGGGCAGCTTGCGTGTCTTTTCAGCAAGGAAGCGACGCTCAACTTCGCAGTTGGAATGGCCAGAAACGGACCTTTGGGATCTGCAAAAAGAACTCGTGATAACTCCTGTCTTCCGGCGCTAGATAGAGACTGGTTCAAAACTATGGGCACTTGGTCATTGAAACCTGGATGCCTTGAGGCCACCCCCTGGCAGGAAGCAACTGAAGAGCTTGAGAGGTGCTCTCATGGATGCAGCCCCATCGGTCGCAAGTTAATGCAGGCCTTTCCCAACTCGCAGAATTCTAGAGCAGAGCTGGACCAAACATACACGTTTCTCTGTGATCGCACACAAACACAGCGCGACTTGATCATGCGCTTCACTGGTTGCTTGAGGATGTTCTGGTCAAATAGCTGTTCTGCTGAGAATCAAGGGGGCAAACGGCCATCTGTTACTAGGGATACAGTCCTCCCCTTCCATTTCCCTCTTTCAGAGGTCAAGAGGTAAACCGCGCATTCACGGAAAAACCCCCGCCGTCGCCTTCCCCAGTGTATCGGAGCCCACCCCGTAGATCCACCGTGCCGCCAGAATCTTCCGGCGCCGGTCATGGCGAACCTTGGTGGACTCTTTGCACCCTACTGGCGGTTGCCGGGTATCACAACGGCGTTGATTGATTTTATCTCCAAGGGTTAAGGCAACTGGCCAGCGCTCACGGAGGTCTGGGCCTTGGGAGTATGTGAGCAAACAGAAATGCAGGTCCTTGTTGGGACCCTGGCTCACCAGCCAATACCTTGCTGACCGCTATCCACATTCTCCTTTGCCGAAGGAACCAACTCAAGACAAGAAACCTGGACAGGGTTCAGATGGCTACGGGCCAAATCTAGCTGGACCCCTCTAGGTGGTTGTCATCCTCCTGAAATGGATCCTTAGTTTTGCCACGCCCACGCGTCGCAGGAGGTGAGAAGAGTGGGCTGTCCAGCTATCCTCCCGCCCCCCCTGCATGTTTGCCGATTCGCGATGTGCCGCAGCTACTGCAAATACTGAGACAGGGCGTTTCAGTGCAAAACAAATTACATAGAGATATATAGACTTGTATGCTAGCATTCTGTGGATGGTGCCCGTTCATTAGCCTGACAATTGAAATATTAGATGCACTCGCTCGCGCACGGAAGCAAAGAACATGATGTTCCTTTGCAAGGCACATGAGATCAGCATGGCTTGCCACTGAGCAGTGATACTTTTGACCCGGCGTTTCTCCGTCTCTCGCGCTTGATCGAGAAAAACCTACTAGTCGCCGGACGACACCAGCAAAATCAGACCTTTGCAAGCCCTTACCTAAGGCGTTTGTTCCGGGGGCACCTGAGACCGCTGCAAAGTCCTACACTTCACGGCACATCTCACAAATGGCAATGTGTCTCCTGGGCCAAGGAGCCATGGTGATCCAGGCATGGAAGTGGGGCTTCGCAAAGTCGATGCTGACCTGTGGCTTCTTGCAGGGACTGTTGCCTTTGCATACGGCCGGTTTCGACCAACCATGATGTCCCCCAAAAGGGCCGATATGGCACTCCGAATAGCAGCGGTTACCTTGTGCCAAAGCCAGTCCACAAAGCAAGCCATATGGTGTCCGGGGCAATCGTTTGTGCTGCAGTTGGAACCTGTGCAAGTTGGGCACATCCATCAGATGTGGCAATGCAAATTAGGGCCTCGGGAGTTCCTGTGAACACTCATCAAAGCAAGACATTCGTAGACACCTTCCCCAGACTGGCTCTGTGTAAACAAGTCGGACCCTTGTGAGGACAGCCTAAATGGGCCCAAGCTACAACCCGAACTCTTCGGAGGGTCCCAGCTCGTTGTGACAAACACCGTAGGGCTTGTAAACCTGGTCTTAGGCGTACATGCGCTACTGTCAAGACCATGATAGTGAGTAGTCAAATCAGATTCAAACATAAGTGTGTCCCTTCTTTGCAACCTACCCCAAAAAGGGTACCTGGATTGTGCTGGTAAAGAGGTCCTTCTGCCACCCTTTTTGGGGGACAAGAGCAATCATACACCTCCAAGGGGCCCCCCTGCAGCTTAAATAGGACAACCCTGACGCCTGCAGTGAATTCCCTAAAATCTTGGCAAGCCAGGGAACAACTGATGCTGCTGGCTCAGTCCGTTCGCAATTTCAGGAATCCACCCGTGACGACGCTGGACGGCCAGCTGAGCCTTGGCCATTGCATCTGTGAGCTTCAGCGCTTGCTCCGCACGCTTCAGCCGCGCCTGTCCGAGCCGCGCGGTTGTGGTTGAGCCTTCGGCTGGGTCTCAAAGAAGCATCCTCAAAGACCCTTGAAAGGACGGGAACCATCCTGAAAAGGGGAACCACCCCGAAACGAGGAACCATCTGGTAGTTTGAAGGCGAACCAACGGGACCCATAAGGTGAATAAAAACCAAAACAAAGTCCACTTGAAGGGAGCCAGTCTAGGAGATCTGTTCCAGGATTGGGCCATCTTCGTGTTTAAACGTTTAAACACCGAAAACAGTTGCTGCAGCAACGGGTTCCCCACCACCTCCCAAGTCACAAGCAGAAATGGTCGGAACTTCAATCCAGCAATGATCGAATGCGTCGCGCAGATCACTCTTTTCTTGATATATTACTGCAAGATGGAGTGCATGGGTGCAAAGTTTGTCCACACAGGAAATCAATCATCAGCTTGAAGAAAGAGCGTCGAACGACCGGCGCCCCTTCCAGATTCACACTTGCCCAGAAATTCTCACTCCTCAGAATCTGATCTAAGGTCGAGGGCGGGTGGGAAGAAAAAGAGGACACCCTGGAGCACTCAACGATCATGACAAGCGCGCCCTTACTCAAATCTAGCTTGGGTGCAAAAAGGCACACGAGGCAGAACTGCTTGTGCAGCAAAGGCGCCACCTCAATTCGCTGCTTTGCAGTGCTTTCCCTTCACCAACAAGTTGGTTCCAATAAATCAAGATTGTATGCAAAAGCAGCCCTTTGGTTTCTCTTCCAAGGGGCCAGGGTCTAGATTGAACCAATCTTGCCCAGGTCAGTTCGCCTTCCTTTACCCCTGATGGCTTTGGGTTGACAAGCACGTACTTTTGGGTTGAACTTCCGCCAGAACTTCGACGTGATAGTTGGCCAAGAAGCAGCCAAAAATGGTTGATCTGTTCATTGCGCCTCGCCATACCTGTAGCCATACCCCCCGTATTTCCCCAAAACCACCTTAGACCTGACCAGAGCAGTCGGCTTGCCTCCAAACGTGAAGACCCTCAAAATGGGTGTGTTCAGAAAACTCAAGAAGTGGACGCAAAGGAGACACACACACACACACGCACACATGCTCACACACTCCCATGGATGAACCACCATTGAGCTTCCGCGGGCCAAACGACGCGCACGTCGCGCGGACGACGGGGACGTCGCCTGAAGGGCGAAGTCGTCCGAGGCGCGGCCCAGGCGAACCGCCCAGCGCCAGGCTGACAGCACCTCAAGCTGAAACCAAGCAGTTCAGCAACCAATTTTGGCAAAGGAAAGGGAACCCTTTTTGGGCTTGGAATCTCCGTAGAAAAAACCAAACAAACAAAAGGTATCACTCAACTTGGAGTTGTTCAAACTCGTTGCAAAAAAGAGGACATCCACCGACAGTTGCAAAGCAAAGGGAACCCTTTCAATCCATTCGTGGGGAAACCAATTTGAAAGGTTGCAGCTGAACTGGGAGTTCAATGTCGCCAATGGACTCCGAGAAAAAAAGAAGAAAAAAAAAAAAAAAACAGATTGGCTGTCCTGATTCCCTTTCAAAGAAACGAATCTCGAAACAAATTGGTCCCACGGAAGCAACTCCAAAGGCAAATCTTCAGGTACTGGGCGGAGGAGTGAGGATTCACACATGGTGCGGGCTCATTGCCAGGTCCTCGCTTGGAATCCTTTCACGCGCCAGCTGGCAATGCATGCGCTTTAGGGATCATGGCCTACATGCTTGCTCCGCAGAAAGGAGGCTCAATTCTGAAGAAAACAAACTGTGAGGCATCTCCTAGGGCGGGCAGCGGCCGTTTGGAGAGTGGTAGGAACGACATCGACCAACCCCTTGACGGCATCCGGCATGCGCAAGTTGCTATTCTGCACCCCTCACATCCATCCTTCATGTCAAGCGGCCCAGCTTCCCCAGAGGTCTAGGTCCATGAGGAAGAGCTGGTCCATGATCACCTGGCAGGCAGGACATCTTGGCCTTCTTTGTTTGCTTGTTCCATCGTTTGCGTCTTTGCCATAGTTGTCCTTGTGGTAAAATAGATGGGTTTCCATGGAATGAAGCCAATCAAAACCAGTTCAATCTGTTTCTAACCAAACACACCAAAAAAGGACACCTATGGTCTTTGCGTCTTTGCTTGACTTGCTCGGCTCACCCAAAAAAATGCCCTGCTGGGGTGACATCAAACCAGCTGACAAAAGGAGTAAGACGTCCTCCATGTTCCACTGAAGGGCGCGTTTGAGTTTTTGTTGCTTTCCAAGTTTCGGTTAAGTAACTCAAAGGAGAGGGAAACACAGTTTTGTCAACAACGGGGGAACCCGGGACCTTAAAAGGAACGAACCCCTCCGTGACTGCGACCTCTCCCTTAACCTTGTGGGTAGCGCGAGCAACGCGCTCTTTTCAGCACTTGAGCCAAATGACATGCGGACATGTCATCTGGGTCCTTGTCATGTTTGTACATCATGCAACTTGTTGTACCTCTGGGCCATAAATGTCATCGTGATAATTGACTCCCCCCTCATTGACGGCACTGAGGGAGTGTCTTGGGCGCATTACCACGCCAACTTGAAGTCAAGTTTACATCACAACGACTGACGCAAGTTATTCAAGCATCGCCCAGTCACTTGCACACTTTTGGAAATTTTGCAGACATGCTGCAGCGCACTAGGCAGCTGCTTTAGCGGATCTACTTTCACGAACGTCTTCAAGCTTCTCTGGAAGGTCAACACGAATGCCGAGCAACCGGATGGCATGGTCCCACTTGTTGGGTGGAAGTGCTTTCGTGAAGATGTCTGCTGACTGCATGTCGGTTTGGACGTATTCTATCGAGATATGTTCGCTTTCAAGCTGCTCTGCGATGCACGCGAGGTTCACCTTGTGGGTGCGCTGGACACAGCGTAGCTTGGATGAGAAACCCTTCTTTGCTACGAGGATAGTCGCCTGGTTGTCCTCGTGGATCTTGAGATGGAATGGTCTGTCCAAGATCAGCTCCCATAAGCTGAGCGCAGGAAGCGCCTCCTGGTAAAGGGAGTATGCGAGAGATACGATCTCCGCCTCGGTTGTCGATCGGGAGACCGAGGTCTGCCTTTTAGACACCCACGCAAGGGGAAAATGCGTATGCGGACCACTCAAAGTCAAGAATCCTCCGGACGTTGATTTTGCGTCTCGTTCTCCAGCGAAATCGGCGTCCACATAGAGAGACAGATGCAACTCATCAGTCGAATCCTGAACTGTGCCGACTAGCGTGCTGTTGACCGTGCTGTTTATGTAGCAGACAAGCCTATGTAGCTGCTTATCGCAGTTCCTAGACCATTTCTGAACAAATGAGGCAAGGTCGCCAATGGGCTTGACCAGGTCTGGGCGTGCCAAACGGCCGAGCCATAAGGCTTTCATTAACACGCGGCAAGCGGCGAAGCCGAGCTCACCCTCCAAGGCGTCATCTGCAGGATCAAGGGATCCAGCGGGACAGAATGGAGTGGTGGCATCACGCAACTTTTCAGTTTTTAGCTGTGCAACCTCAAGATATAATGCAACCGTTTGACGGGCATAATCCCGCATGTCGAACGCCATGCCCCCTTTCAATCTGCCCATTGCGGCATTAAGATCGGGTTCAGTTGGGTCCTTTGGAGCATCTATCAAAAGGTGATTCCTGCCTAGCACCCGGTATATGTCTTCTGGGGGTTCTATATCAACCAGTCTTGTTAACTTTTCCCAGAAGTCTTTATGAAGGTGGCTGGGGCCGGCCAACGTCAAGTCGTCGACGTATGTCGAGAGAAGTAACCCGGACTCCTTGAACCAGAAGTTTCCAGGAAACTCTGCGACCTCACGCCCTCCAAGTTCACTAATGAAACCTTTGAGGTGTGCCTCCCAGAGTCCGCCAGCGTCAGGATGCCCATAAAGAGCTTTAACGAGCAAAACCACAGGTTTCACGAAACGCTCGCGCCACCACCTTGGCCGGAGCTCAGGCGGGAGTGTGATCCAAGTTTGGTACTTGGACTTCAGCAGTGCTTGCACATAAGCCTTTATAGCGTCCGCTGTTGTGGTGGAATTCCCTGGCAGGGATCCATAAGCGAGACAGTTATTAAGACCTTGTACGCTCGTGGGATTTGCTCCCAACTCTTGGTAGACAGCTGCCGCGCCATGTTCGTCTTTCGCACAGTCTCCGCGATACACAATCCTACCTTTCATCTTCTGAAGGTGTTTCGCGAGTTCGGCGAACTTGACGGATGCTAGCGACACTGGATCGTCGCGCCTCAGCAGCGACTTGATCATACTCTCGGACTGAATTTAGATCCCAAACACCGGCTTTCTCCAGGCCTGTGGCTTCAAGTCGAACGGCTTCAAGGGCTTCCGCGGAAGCCAAGACCTTCAAACACGCGACCCATATTGGACTCTGGTGAACATGCGTATTCGAACATCACAGGCAACTTGTCAATGCGTGCCTGTCGCTTGCGGGCACGATGATTTCCTACCTCAAACTGCTTGGGCTGCGGAGCTTCAACCTCTGCCCTGCATGGCATGCCAAAAATTGGCAATGTATCTGGACGACCGTTCTTTGACGCTTCGGTGAGAGGTGTCGGCGGCACGGAGTCTAACATCACGGCTGCACCTGTGGTGATCACGCAATCGGACTGAATGGGTTTTAACTTGAACACTGTGAACCCGGTCCATGCATCTCCAAGTGAGCGATTAGGTCGGCTACCAAACCAACCATCGTGGATGTTGTCTGCTTTGCCCCCCCTGAAACACGGCACGAGTGGTGCGAGCTGCAGTAAATCTTTCTGGGGAAACGGGGCAATCCTCGACCTCTTTTGGGGTAAAAAGATTCTGCCTTGGCATGATATGGTATCGAACCAAACAGTTGGCATTTTCTTTGAACACCCAAAAATCTTCACCTTGCGATGCAGCGGCTGTCGCTGGCGCGGTATCGAAAAATGAGGCACCGGGTCTTGAGGGAGCGGGCTCCCCAGCTTCGGCTGCATCAAATTCATGCGCAACGTCTTCTGCACTAACTGCTATTTTAGGATCCTCCTCATGCTCGGATGCGTGCAGCTAGCTCCTCATCCCCTTCAGCATGAACAATGGGAATGGGTTCCTTAGATTCAGTTTTGGCAGCGCTTTTTGCAGCTGCTTCAGCTCGAGCTGCAGAAACAAGTTCGGAGAACCTCTTCTTGCATTCGGCACTGTGAATCTTGGAATGACCGGTGCATGCACGGCAACCTGGCGTTTCCTTGAACTTGATGATCCTCTCAACAGTTATGTACACGGATTTTGACTTGACAGCGGATGGAGTCGGTGGGGCCCCAAAGGGCGCCTCTCGCAGGGGCAAAGTTGGGGGATCTGACCCGTCTGTCTTGCCACCATGCAATGCTCTGTCTGCTGCTGCTGCGATCGGGAAGCTTGGGGGTCCGTCCTCAATGAACAATTCCGGTTCAGGAACATCGTGAACGGAAATGGAACCATCTTTACGGAAGGCTTCATAGTCCATGACTTTGACCACATTACGGTACCGCAACCCCGGATCGACCCTCCAACCCAAAAAGAGCGCTGGCGCCATGTTCGGATCGAGAGTGCGCTTGCCAGGAGTCTTGGTTCTGTACCAAACCAATTGCCCGAAACAGCATCTCTTCCCTTGGAACTTTTCCTTGGTGAGAGCTTCCCATTGGGTTTTACCGGGGCTGAATGGAGCAGGCCTGTCGAACGACATGGAGAGACATGCAAATGGGTAACTAAACGTGTGCAACGAATAGGGCAGCCCTGATTGCAAGTGGATGCTGCGACAGCATTCCTTCTCTTCGCGAATGTCGCGCTCCAGGACGGTGTTGTGTGGCCACCTGTTCGGCAAGCTTGTCTCGGGGACGAGACCGACTTCGTGGGCCGCTCCTTCGAGCTCTCCTGCTGCATCCATTTTTATTAGACATGCTGGCGGCGAATCAGTGGCCCGAAGGCCCATGAACTGACGGAAGTTTTTAACATGCGCTTGCGTGTCCCGCCTACTCACAGGGTATGCAAGGCGAACGCCTGAGAACACATCACGTACTACATGGTGAGATTTGATTCCTCCGAAACCTACTCCGAGATGTTCATCGCCCATGGCAAGAATCACGGAATCGGTAGCCAACTGCTGAAATGGTGCGGTTGGAACGTCGACTTTGTCGTCTGATCTAGCATCCTTTTTGTGTGCTACCCTTGTAGAAGCGGTCATTGAGATGGAACACACCTTGCAAAACGGGTTCTTAGGGAAATGGGACCTCATGTGCTCAGGAGATTTTGCTTGCTCCTTCAACGCAGTATCGTGTGTCGGGTCGCCATCCCCGAAGGCGATCGACGGAAGTTCATCCTCGGGAGGAGGGGCTTCCTCGGCCGCTAGCATGTTCACAGGAACCTGATCTGACTCACCTTCATCTGGCGCTTGGCACGAGTCATCGCACAGAGAAACGACATCGTCTTCGGCCGCGCTCATAGCAGCGGCTTCAATCGGCCAGAGGTGAGTTGACGACTCTGCCAACTTGGGTTTTACCACCTCATCATACTGGGGAACGTATTCCACTACCCTACATGCATTAATGCGCATTGCGGGGCACGTTAATCTTGCATCTACTGATGTCCTTTGGGGGAACAAGGTATGGAACATCTCACGAGGATCCCAAATGAAAAGGTGTCCTTGATCCATTACGGTCTTCCCGATGGATTGCGCTGGTGGGCAATCACGGAGGACGTACACCTGCTCTTCAGCAGGTATCACTCGGCTGTCCTCGAACCCTAATGAAGTAGTGCCTTGTTGGGCACCACCCCCAGTCGCAAAACCTACGGGTGTGCTGCTCTCGCGCACGCACTTGATCATGTTGCTATTCAAAGCTTGACGTCCGATCAAGTGTCTCCCTGCGGCAGTATCCCAAAGCCAACTGATGCGATTGTCGTCAGAAGCGACGCTTGCCATTGCCGGAATGAGCTGTGCAACAGCTGCACTCGCCTTTGGCGGCGGCGGTGACAACAAACTTTTGGGCTTGGGACCAGTGTACTTGTTGGTATCACTGTGGAGAAATGCGCACTGTTTGGCCTTGCACGAATTATAGGCATAAAACATGCATGGCGTCTTGGCTTTCTCTGCCGCGGTCATATTGGCTGTCTTGCTGATGGCCTTAGACCTAGGAGTAAGGTTATCGCTCGAACCACCCTTACCTTTGTCCTTGGGGGTGGTGCTGCATTAGCTTTAGGAGGAGGCGGCTTTGGAGCTTTAACCTTCGGCGCAGGGGCTGCCGGAGTCTGCTGGTCAGCAGATTTATCCTTTTTGCTTTTCTTACTCTTCTTCTTGGGCTTGTCCTCGCTGCTTGCTGCAGGCATGGCATTAGGCTCCGGCTTCCTACGATGGCTGCCGATAGGGGCTTCCCGTGCCTTTTCTACCTTAGGCTTCAGCGCTGTGCACTTTTCCAGCTCATCCAACAGGTGATCAAACAAGGTTGTTTCCCTGGGTTGTTCTGCTACGGGGATTGCGGTCAGCACGTAAACGTACTTCTCCCGAAAGGCATCCAGGTCAGCAAGGGACGGGCCTGCAAGAGACAACTTTAACAAGTTACGGCCTCCTAAGGTCCCTATCCTACCTCGTTCCAACTGAAAGTGCTTGAAGATGGCACGCAACATGATTCTCCCTACGGGCATCCCACCTGATGAGATTCTCTCTTGTTCAACCATGTTTTGAAACAAGAGCCCGAACTTACCTTTGCGGCAGGTTTTAAGGAGCTTTGCGGCTACTTCACGATCTAACCGTGGGAAACGCTTGTCCGCGATGAGTTCTTGCTCGGTGGAGGACATGCATGCTTGGGCCCACTGGTACACTTCATCTCCGGGGGTCTTCTGGAGTCGACCGATGGCCATCAAAACTTGATTGACGAAACCTCTAGCCTGACCAGCGTTCTCCGGAGGGGATGGTAGTACAAGATCCTTGAGATCCTTGACGCGGACAACGGACTCCTCGTATGCGGCGTGATCTACGGCGGTCATGCTTGCACTGGGATCGGCAGCCTGAGACGGGTCTGCATTGGGGAACTGGCCAGAGCCTCCCCCGCCTCCCCCACCACCATTCATGGTGAGGTATGGGCAATCCGTGTCTTCATGGCTACCGCCGCAAACTCGACATTGTGGGGTATCATCATCTCCATCGGAGTCTGATGATGAGTCGGAGCTAGCGGCCGATGGCGCTTGTGGGGATGACGAGTACAACCCTCCCAACATTGTGATTGGTACTGGCGGAACACGAGTGCCGTTGCCAGCTTTTGGCGGAGGCGGCGCCCCTGCGAGGGGCGTGGGAGGCGCTGGAGGTGGTGCGGCCGGAGGCGGAGGTGGCGGACCACTTGATTAGCAACCAATTGGGAAAGCTGCTGAACCATTTCCGCTAACGCCGTCACTTGCACTCTCACATCGGCTTGATCCCTTGTACCGTCTCTACCCAACCCGCTAGTCCTCGACGCGCCGGGGGGCTGCGTCTCCAACAGAGGACGCTGCTCCTAGCACTGCCGAATGGCCTGCGAGATGTTGACTTGTTGCACCCCCACCAGGGTCCCTTGAATCAGCTGGGGCATCGTGACCAAGTCCTGAACTTTGAACAGAACCACACGGAGGGTCGGGGATAGTACTTGTAAAAGCATTCCCTTGCGACGATGCGGCAACACCGGAGGCATCTTGTGAATCTGAAACCTGAGGTGCTCCAACCGGCTGATGGGTTCCTGGGGGAACTGTGCCCTGACTTGAGGCTTTAGCCGCGCTTGTTTCCGTAGCTGTTTCGGCTATTGATGCGGCTTTTGGCGGGGACTCTTGAATCGGAACAGGGGTCGCACGAGCTTGTTGGGTGAGGTGCGCAACAACACGTTCGAGATCACCAAGTCGTTGATGCATCACAGAATTCTCCTGGGACAATCCACGAATGGTATGCTCTTGACTGGCAATGGTTTGTTCACTTTGTGAGATTGCCTGTTGAGCCTCTTGAACAATGCGTTGAACCTCTTGCTGAGCGTCCTGTTGAGTGGCATTAACAACCTGTCGTGCGTTCTCGACATGGCCAATGGCTTCCTGTCGTGTCTGCTCGATTAGTTGCCTAACCTGAGCCTCACTTTGTTGTGCTGTTTGTACAGCCTGCTGTGCTTGCGAAGCTAGCTGAGCGGCCTGAACCCTAACGTCTGATACTTCTCTTACAGCCCTTTCCCTGATCCATCCGGCCTCTTGTCTCGCCTGGTCGGCGGCCTGCTGTTGGTGCAAGGCGTGATTGGCTGCCTGAGCAGCGAGGTCGGATGCTCGATGAGCTTGCTGCACCGCAGCTCCAGCTATAAATGCCGCAGCGGGTACGTTAGCAAAGATGCTGTACCGCGCAAAGCGACGGTTTTAACGGCTTGCAAAGAAAGGCTATCGAAGTACCCGATTGGCGGGCAACTGGGATGCAGACCGATGGAGTTCTTCGAGGTACTGCGATGGATGCAGGCCCCTTGCCGCCGGAATGAAAAGTCGATTCCGGGACTCGATGTACTCCCCAAGGTTCTCAAGTGCGTTGGCAAATCCGCTCGGCCCGAAATGCGGGAAGTTGCGGAACGCTGCGATGCCTGTCTTTTGAGCTTCACGGACAATCGCAGCTGTATCGTCGATGAGGGCGTGGGCACCCAGCCCCTGAAGGGCGTCTGCTTTGCCTCCCCTACCCAACCTTTCGTGTACGATTTTTATCGCAGAGAAAGTGAGTCCAGATGTCGTCCGCGCGTGCTCCAGGGCGACCTGGAACTCGCGGCGGCGACACTCGCTCGCAGCCCTGCCCACGAAGGATAGCACTATAAAATTTATAGGTGCGTAGTCGGCTGCAAATTGAACGAGATGCCGGATCACCTCCGGGTTGAGGTGGGGTCCCTGCTGCCCAACGTCAAGAACTCCGTGCCAGTCAAGAGCGATGGTAAGCTCCTTGGGCGGCACAGGCCTTCCAGGCGGCGGGGGTGGCGCAGGTGGTGGCCTTCTTGGTGGCGATCGAAAGCGTGTGCCAGCCTCGGAAGTTGCAGCGCTAGCAGCAGCTGCTTTAACGACCTGCGGCGGTGGCGGCTTGACGATGTACCCTTGTGGCGGGTTTGAGCCCGATTTGCTTCTGGGTTCGGCTTTGTTCAAACCTCGCGGAGGCGCCTTGTACCCGAATGCACTCTGAGTCCGAATAGGAGACCTTGCTCGCGGCGGGGATTTCCTCGGAATATCTGCTTTTGCCGGTGCCGAAGAAGCTGCACGAGGAAGTTCCTTGGGCAATGGAGGCTTGCTGCCAAAAATGACCTTTGGTGCGGCCTTTGGTGGCGGCGGTTGAATTGCTCCAATCCTCCGGCTATGCAAAGCAATAGGCTCAGTGTGAGTCGGTGCCTCGTATACGCGCCGAGGCACGTAAGCTGACCTGCCAGTTCTGATGGATTCCGCGTCCTGCGGAGGTTCCTCTTCCGAGCTGTAGGCGTCGAGGCGATAGTGCTCCGCTGGCCCTGGGCGTCGATCTGGAGATCGTGATCGCGAGCTTGTGGATGATCTTCTTGGGGGATCTCTCCACGTCTCGTCCGCAAGCGAATACGGGTCAGCCTGACGGAGATGTCCGGATGTCCGCTGTGCTCGGCGGTGAGATGTCGCCTCACGTGGCTGTGAAGCCTCCCGAACGAGTACCCAAGTGCCGTGCTCGTCAAATCGTGTCACAGGGTATATACTGTTCTGTGGAGCCAATACAATGGGCCGTGTGGCAAGGGAAGTCCTGGATGGCCTGCCCTCCCGCGCAAGCGCGGGTTCAACACTGTGTGCCCGATGTTCCACAGGGGTAGCAGCAGTCGGTCCTCGTCTCGGAGGCGATGGAGACCTCGACCTTCGGGGCGATGGGGACCTCGATCTTTGTGGCGACCGTTCCCTGCTGCTCTCCCGCCGCGTTTCCGCAGCTCTAGCGTACACCCCGCGAAGCGCTGTCTTGGCGGCGCCCCGCAACACTTGTCTTTCCTCTGCTGATGGTCGGATGCGAGGCAATGGAGTGCGCGAATCTTGTAGCCAGGATGAAGCTGAAGGAGGCGTCGGAGGGCGTAGCCAGTCCGCTGCACTGCTCGCTGCTTCCGCCGCGCCAGAGGCTGCGGCTTTATCCTGAGATTGCACACCTTGCGGCAAGACCACACCTGCGGTTTCAACCGATGCGACGAGACGCTGCTGATAAGCGTTGTCCGCGGCCTGGATCACTTCGAAGGCCTCTTGGTCAAAATCCCACAGGTGCCAACTAGCCAATGACTCACGCCAGGAAAAGAGCGCCTCGATCTGTTGCTTCGAGGCGTCTGCAAACCTGACCCACCGGAATCGTCTGTTCTGCCGCTTGTACTCGTCAACGACGGGTGGGGGTGGGTGGGTGGGGGTGGGTGGGTGTGGGTGGGTGGGTGTGGGTGGGTGGGTGTGGGTGGGTGGGTGTGGGTGGGTGGGTGTGGGTGGGTGGGTGTGGGTGGGTGGGTGTGGGTGGGTGGGTGTGAGTGTTGAATAGACGGGCACGCGGCCCTTTCCCACCGCGAGTGCCGCGGTGAGGGCCGGCTTCCATGTGCGACCAAACGGTCGCAGTCACGGAGGGGTTTGTTTACCCGAAAAGCGTTACGGCTGATAACCACTCAAAGGAGAGGGAAACACAGTTTTGTCAACAACGGGGGAACCCGGGACCTTAAAAGGAACGAACCCCTCCGTGACTGCGACCTCTCCCTTAACCTTGTGGGTAGCGCGAGCAACGCGCTCTTTTCAGCACTTGAGCCAAATGACATGCGGACATGTCATCTGGGTCCTTGTCATGTTTGTACATCATGCAACTTGTTGTACCTCTGGGCCATAAATGTCATCGTGATAATTGACTAAGTATGCCTGATTTATATACTACGTCGTTGGAGAATTTGGGCAGAAAGCAGCCGTCTGCACGCCTTCATCTTCTCCGAGCGCATCCCAGCCTGCGGACAGAAACACAAACAGCAAAACCCGCAGTTAGCATTTGCCGTTTCTGAAACGTTTAGATAGAAGCCGTTGTCATTTGTCATCTGCCAATCTCGTCTGAGAACTCCCAGATCTTCCAGCTGCTTCTGGTCCAGTCCCTAGGGGTCAGGCCACACCCTCACTTTACACGGCAAGTCGTCTGTCTCTTGTCCCCAACCATACGTGCAATACTCAGAAATTAAACGCGGTTGCTGAAACAGCACAGCAGTCGTGTGAACCGAGAGACCTTAATGCATGGCAAAACAAGCGAAGCCGGTGCCACAAGTGCGGAAACCAGCAAGAAAGACGGTTGGCAAAGGGGAGATCCAGGGAGGTCCTCAAATCCATGTCTGTGTTCAAAAAAACACGCAATGTGGGTGGAGTAGTTTTCTGTTCAGAGCGAAGTTCGATCCGTTTCTTCACCTTAGGCTTTCGCACTGACAGATCCCACCTTGAGGTACTGTGACCGGGTCTCCTGCAGCTCGGCATAGGTTTGGTCCAGTTGGTCCAGAGCATTGTTGTGCTTTACCTGAAGCGCCGAACGTAGTGACGGAGTGCCCGGTCAACACTTCGAAGCAAAACAAAAGGAAACCAGGAATTTCGGCCGCAGGCCTTTTGACCTAGGTTTCACAGGAAAGTACCTTAAAGATCATGTTGGGAATCACCAGAGCTCGATGCCCTCCATCCATTGCTTTACGTGTACTCGATGAATAGACTCGGTTGGATCGCTATGAACTCCAATTAGCCAGGTGGTTGCGGAGTTGGAGCTCTGAGCCATGCAGGGGGTTTCTTGTAGGTACGTTGTTCAGGATACATTTGGACTCCCCCCAAACCATGAGGCACCTGACCTGATGTTCAAACACAAAGTTCTTTCTGGAATTTGTGGCAGCCCAGATTGTGTTGTGCTGCGTACGTCATTTTCAGAAGGCTTTCGCGCGAATGCCTTTCTCGAAGGGGGAAGCTTTCAGTCATTGGATGTCCATGTCGAAGCATGGGCACTGTGATAACGCGGTTGTCCATATTGTCCCTGCGAGAACAAGCAAGGGTCATGAGAAAGAAAACATGACGGACTTGCGCCTCGCATTGTTGCAGCCTGGCACGAACCCTTCTGTCTTAGGTGAGTCTAGTAGCAAGTCGATCTGCATACCGCAAACTGATTTCAACAGAAGTGGATGGGCCGAACCTGAGCCAGCCAGGAGCGAGCTGAGTCCCGTCAGGAAAATGCATCTTTCCCGAAGGCTGCCACATTATGAAGATTGGCCCATTTAGAACTGCCGTATAGTATGGCCAAACAGATGAAAAGCCAGGCAAGACTTTCACCCTCAATTGTTGCTCTTGCGGAAGCCTGTTCAGCTGAGCTGATGATCGACAACGAAGTTTTTTGCTAGATGTTGAGGCGAAAAGAGTCAAACAAACAAACAAACAAACAAACAAACAAACAAACAAACAAACAAACCGTCCAAACAAACAAGCAGACAGACAAACAGACAGACAAACAAACAAAAACTCAAACTGGCTCTCGACGGTGCTGAAGGTGACAAGGTGCCATGACCAGGATTTCGAACCATGCCCTGAAGGCCTGGCGGACGCTCGCGGCAAAAAACTCATCGAAGGCTGGCATTCTGGCTGGTGACCAATGGACACACTGATGGACACAGTCCATCTTTGAAAGGGCTGAATAACTGTTTGTTGTTTATAGGGGAATTTGCAGAAAGCGGGGATTCTTAGGTGGTGCAGGATTTCGTGCATCAGCAGGTTGGATAAAGCAGGAAAATCGGTAAAGCAATGCATGAAACCAACTTCTGGCTGGGCCATGACCACGAGGAAATCCTTTTGTCCCCAGTGAAAATTGAAAGGGACCTGGGCGACGGGGCCTTGCAAGGGGTCGAAATATATCCCCCCATATGCCCCCTAATTATTGATTACCACGGGGAGGGAATGATCTGCACGACGCAGCCAAGCTGTGGTTGGGAAGCCACATATATATATATATATATATATACCATTTTGATAACACACCTTCTTTTCCTGTGTTTCCAAAGATTGCGTCGCGCGCTTCTCGTCCGTTTAAGCCACTCCAAAAACCGCACCTGCTCACATGGCTCGATTCGCAGGCGCGGCCCGGGCGCGGAGCCCGCTTGCCTGTCGGAGCTGCAGGCGTCGGCTCTTCTCCAACTCCTTGGCTGCCACGAAGCCGCGCCAGCGCCGCAGCGAGAGCTTCACCCCGAGCCTCTCTCGAAAGACCGGGTGAACGGGGATGGGGGGGATGACATTGGGGGCTGGCCTTCTTGGCAAGACTCCTCGTTGCATGATTCGCATGTTCCCCTTTTCGGGTGTTACCCGAAATTAAGGACGCTTCCGAACGGCCGATGCCCGTGTGCTCCCCGATCAACTTGTGAGACACTGCCTTAAGGGCCATGTAGTCCAGGGGTCTGGTGGTGAAACATTTGCATCAAAAGAAGTGACCCATCTAGGCCACAGGAACAACTTGCCCTATGTATGGCCATTAATTCTGACCGCGGTCCAAAGGCAACCCACCTATTGTGAGGGTTCCCCATTTAAGGAGACACATTCCATTGGAAGAGCGCAACAACAAAATACGACAAAAGGCAACTGCCAAAGGGTTTAGCTCGCTCGGGCGTTTTTTTTGGTGAGCCGATGCCATTGAAATGGTCAGGGCGTGGCCCAGAACAGCATGAGATGTGAATGGCCCTCGATCCCCGATCACCCTCTTACAGCATTCATCGGTTCCACCGTCACCAGTCGGACAACCGGGGCTGCTTCATCCATGACCCTTCTTTCTTGCCAAATTGCTGCACACTAGCCCACCTCCTTTCCAAGGAGGGAGGAAATGCATGGCTCAATGCCGTCAAATACATCCTGGAGCTCTGAACAGCTTTCTGGGTACGAGGAGCATGCGATCCGTGAAGGTCGTCATGGCCAGCAGAGCTCTACCAATCTTGCCGATGGCACGGTGATACCTGCACCGCGCGCGCAAGGGGGGAAAAAAGCAAACCATATGCAAAAACCTGAGAAGTGACGCCTGGCTGCATCTGCAACTTCTGCACTGGCGCAACATGAACGTGTCCATTCTGCAGGAAGCAAACATGAGGTCGAAAAAGGAACGTGAACGTAACTCGCCAAGCTTGTCGTGCTGACTGCGGGGCATCACATATTCTGTGCTTCTGATTCCTAGGATGGTTATAGGGAAACTGGCCATCCCATGCTTTGCCAGCCCAACGGGCCAAACAGTAGTGAGTGGTTATCATGACTGCAATCACATGGCCACAGGTTGCAACTTTCGGCCGAGGATGGGTGGTAGCCATGTGTGTGTGTGTGTTCTTATAGCTTTTTACAGTCAACAGCCTGGATCATGGGGCAGCCGGGAAGTGGGCAAAATGGGGGATGCTGTTGTGCACCCCCTTTCCAAAGGCAGGCAAAGGCAGGCCAGCAACACATGGCGACTATTTTGACCCCCCCCCCCCCAACTGTGGATTTTTGGGGCATCTTTTCCATGCGGAAGTTCCCCCCCCCACGGCGGCAATGCGGCGAGCTCAAACAAAAACAAGGTTCAGGGTTACAAACACAAGTTGGGCCGTGCTTAAATGTCACTCCAATTGGACAAGCTAAAATTTGGGGTAGATAACCTTGCTCCAGTCAAGCCCTGCCCTTGACTGGTATTCCACCGTCGCCAATCGCCTTCTGGTGTGCCCCTGAGCCCCCCCAGCAACTTCGACGGATCCTTTGGTCAGCATCATTTTTGTCCATCAACCGTTAGTTCAAGGGGCACATACTGTGGATGGACGAAATCCTGCACCACTTAACAATCTCTGGAAGGTTGATTCCACTGAAAATACCAAGAAACACATGGGTTTGCATGGCTTCATTTCGTGGTGCGAGAAGCGAAACCCGGTTTCGCAGCCAGTATGTCACGATACTCGGCGTATGGGACGCAAAGCTCCGCCCCCGAAAGCTCCGGGCAAGCTGCGCCAGCTCGGAGCGCAGCCTGGCCACTGCCAGCTGAAGCTCGGTCTGCGCCCACTGGGACCACCTCAGAGAAAGCCCGCAAGCGGAGGGGAAGGGTATATGATAATCATATGGGTGCGGGGGGTGCCGGGGGGTGCTGGGGGTGGGGGGGGGTTTTGGGGGGTGGGGGTGGGCCCTTTGGACAACATGTGACCGAAGATGCTGGCCAGAGCACATCTGCAAGATGTTAAAGTGAATCACAATTCCTGACCACTTCTAGAAAAAGAAGCACTTCTGATATCATTGTAAATTGTCAATCGGCGTCGCAACAATTTATAACAGCTCCATCTCTTCTTAAAATTGGCAAGCTGTTTATAGCAAAAGGCAACAATTCAGGTGCAACTGTGCGAACACCATATTCCACTTGTCCCCTGCGACTTTCGTAACATTGCTGACGACGTAAACAATTCGGCGTCACAATCCTCAAAACCAACATTGCAAGGAAACATAC